CTGCCCGGTATATATATATATCTGTGTGCTCTCTCTCTCTCTCTCTCTCTCTCTCTCTCTCTCTCTCTCTATATATATATATATATGTCCTCTTCTCTCTCTCTGCCTACGGTTTTACCGGGCAGTTCTGTTTGTGACGATATATATATATATATATCTGTGTGTGCATGTGTGTGTGTGTGTGTGTGTGTCTGTCTGCCTTGTTGGGATTTGATGGATTGGATTGGTGGTGAGCAGTTCCAGGAGGACCGACACCGGCACATCCGCAGCATTTACGGGCCCACTGATGTCTTCCTCAGGCCCGTAACAAAGAATCAGGAATACGGATGGGGAATGTTTCATCCTTTGCCGCATGACGATATATACTATCCCTTGCGGAGCACAGATGTGACCCGGAAGGAAGGCATCTGTATTGAGACGTACTACGGGCTTTTCTGAGAATTCGGATAAAGCTGGCTGGCGCGTGATTGGCCAGCGTTCTCGCATTCATGTCACCCACCGATCGAGTGGACAGCGCCAGTCGTTTAAAAATGAATTTGAAAGTGACCGAAGCGATGGAAGCGGCCGCAGGAAAATTCACGGTCGCGTGTAACTCCAAGGCCATAAAGATTGCTCGCGAAATTTTCTTTTCACCGCGGTGAAATGATGATGATCACCACCATCTTTCCTGCTGTTACTCCTCATCCTGATGGGGTCTCTTCTACCATTCAGCCTTTCAATTTGCAGGAATTTTGGCCCCTTTTGATATGGTTTAGGGGTGCCTTTTAAGCTTTCGATTTGGCCCCCTCTGATGCAGTTAAAGAGTGTCCTTTTTCATTTCTTTTCTTTCCGAAAAGGATGATGCCCCCCCCGCCCCCCACCCCCCACACCCCACCCCCCACACCCCACCCCCGAAAAGGACCCTAACCTTTATTGTATTCATGGGATTTGATCTCATAATCTGTTTATTGTATTCATGGGATTTGATCTCATAATCTGTTTTGTTTTTTTTTTCACATCTGTGTGTACTATGTAGTACTGTGTTCCCTTCAAAACCACAGCCCATGTCCGGTGGTCGAGACTCAAGGGTATTTTAATCAGGCGCAAGGCGGCAAGGGTATTTTAATCAGGCTCAAGGGTATTTTAATCAGGCGCAAGGGTATTTTTTAATCAGGCGCAAGGGTATTTTACTATTTTTTAATCAGGGCTACTGTCATCATTCACCCTGCCAAACAAATCATCAAGTTGACATCAACATCAATTGAAGAGTGGTTACTGAACAGACACAATGGGCCTCACTCCGCTACTGTCGAAATGTGCAAAATGAGACTGAATCCTCCCAAAGAACATGGAAAGATACGCTGCCGCAGTTTTTGTAGTGGAGCGAGGCCCAGATACGGTCGGAAATAGTTAGGTCGATGCGATCTACGTTGCGCTGACGTTTGGCAGGGCACGACGGCAAGACGGTATTTCCTGCTCGGCGATTCTCTTGCAAAAGTCCTCAGCCCTCCACGACTTTGGCACGCGTTGCCCTTTTCTGTCCAATGCATGTCTCATATGCTGTTAAATGGACATGGACCTGCACGGCGCACCGATTCAGTCTCTGCGTAGGGTGGCTGCAATGTAGAACTTGTGCTGTTAAACAACCAGAAACCCAGGGGATCTGAGGCCCCCTCTGAGGCTAATGAATGGATATGGACCCGTTCGGCGCACCGATTCAGCCTCTGCATTAACGCCTAAAAACGTGGTAGGTACTTGTGCTGTTAGTCGGGGTGGGTTATATTATTAACTTACATACAGCAATTCATGTCCATGTCACGACCGAATGATCGGGCATAATGATCCCAAGGATGGGTAATTTGCTACCTCTGCACAGTCTATGGGATGGGTGAGTTGCAGAGTGGAACAGTTTAAAAGGGGTCTGATGGGAAGTTTCGGGGGTCAAGGCGGGTCGCATTCCTGAAACAGCTATTAAAAAAAAAAAATTAAAAAAATCCAGTCGTTTTGAGTCTAAATGGGCATACCAGGGCTCAGAATGGGGTACCAAAAAAAGGAGATGGAGTGGTCACAGGATGGGCATAGACTGGGTACAGAGTGGGGGGAAGAGAATGGGGCACAGAATTAGGCACAAAATAGGCAGCAGATTGGTTACGGAATTTTTTCACGCCCCCATCAGTGTTAGCGGTGCAGAATGGGTAGAATATGGGGCACAGAAACTGGCACAAAACGGGCACGAGAGTGGGCCCAGAACTTGGGGGGCCGCAGAATGGTACAATCAAGATGGGCACTGAAACATGCACAAAATGGGCGCCACAGTTGGCCAAATTCAGAATTTGGGCCCCCCATGGGTACACAAATTGGTACACAATGGCTACACAATGGGCACAGAAATAGGGCCCAGAATGGGCAGAGAAATGGGGAATCGATTGGCATAGAAATGGGGACAGAATGGGCCATAAAATGGGCCACAGCATGGTCCAAGGATGGGGGACAAAATTGGAAGAGGCATGGGAACAGTGGCGAGGGGGCGCTACTGCAGCTACACCAGGTAATGATAAGAAATTATGGAATATTTGCTGCAGCAATGATGGCAGGGGCAGGGAGGGGGCGAAGGGGGGCTCCTGAGGGAAGGGTGCCCTGTTTTTCGATGTATGGGCGGGAAAAGGGGTCAGAGAGTGTAGAGTGTACCGCCCATACATCGAAAAACAGGGCAACCTTCCCGCCCATACGTCGAGTGTAGTGTACCAATCGCAAAGCAAGCACGGTCATGAAATGGTGGGGTGACAGCTCTGTCAGATCTGCAATCAACGGTCAGGATGAACCTGCTATCCACTCCACTGCAGCTTTCACTTCTCTCAGAGAGAGAGAGAGAGAGAGAGAGAGAGAGAGAGAGAGAGAGAGAGAGAGAGAGAGAGAGAGAGAGAGAGATCACCACCAATCCAATTCAGCAAATGCCAACCAGGCAGGAAGACAATCCATATAAAAAGACAAGTACACAGAGAGAGAGAGAGAGAGAGAGAGAGAGA